ACCTCCCATGTTAAGGTGATTGTTTTTATATAACATCAAGAAATTGGTGAATTCCACAGCCTTGGTTTGGTATTTATTATTATGATCGGTTATAAAGCATATTCTGTAAGACTGTACATTAGTTGGTTAAACAAACAACTAATTACAAGTTGGTCATACAGGAAATAAAAGTGATGAGGACAATGTTCAGAAGAGCTTACAGTCTATCAGAGTTATTCACTAAAGTGAGAATCCAAAGTGAATTTCAAATTTTAAGATCACAATAACCAAACTGGAAAAAATCTCTTATGCACCTTTGCTTTACATTCAACTACTCTGACTTTAAATTCAAAATTCACTTTGTGAATATTTGTAAATAATTCTGTATGACTTGAACCTCCATGTAATTGACCACTGGCACTTATTTCTGGTGATGCAAGCCCACTTTTTTGGGAGTAGGAAGTGGACAATATATGGACAAGTTGTGAACGGAATAATAGCTTCATGTAATAGAAGACAATAAATAGCCAGCTTTTAGTTAGTTATTCGATATTGACTAAATTGTATGCTTTATTTATTTCTGTAGCAACATCTACTTTGCACTTTTATTTGAAACATCTGCTAGTAATGAAAGTTACAAAACAAGTAGCCACTCCAAACCCAGTTATAACAATAATTAAAGTGGTCATCAAAGAGAATTGCAGAAGAATGGCTTGCAAAAGAGCACCTGCTTTAAAGTTACATGGGATTATTTGTGTCCCATTATATAAACAGAAGTTCCAGAATTCAGTTGTTCCCTATGTTAAAACTATGCACTGCTGATATGCTACACCTGCTACACCCCAGCTCATGGGGCATGTGCTTTCCGATTTGTATTGGAGAATGGTTATGGGGGGACATATGTTCACATGCAGTGGGCTTCCTAAAAATGCAATAAATTTGTAAAGATATACAATGTGATTAAATGTGTGCATTACAAAACAGGGACATGTAAGATGCAATAGCCTGTACATTAATATGTCAGTCTTATCTATATCTCTCTATCTATCTAGCTATCTATCTAGCTATTACCTCTACAAATGAAACATAACAGCAAGGAATGGGGAACAAACATGTATTGTTATAATGAACTATTTTTGCCTGATAACAAAGCTGGCAAGAGAGAGTGTAAGGCCGCAAATTAAAGGATCACTATAGGGTTAGGAACACAAACATGTATTCCTGACCCTAGTGTTAACACCACCATCTAGCCCCCCTGGGCCCCTCATGCCTCCATAAACATAGCAAAATCTTACTGTATTCAAGCCTGAAGCTGTAGATCTGCATGCTGTTAGACTCAGAAAAACAAGCAGACTGCTGACATCATCAGAAGTGGTGGCCTGATCCAATCACAATGCTTCCCCATAGGATTGGCTGAGACTGGCAAAGAGGCAGATCAGGGGCAGAGCCAGCACGATTCAAACACAGCCCTAGCCAATCAGCATCTACTCATAGAGATGAATTGAATCAATGAATCTCTATGAGGGAAGTTCAGTCTCTGCATGCAGAGGGAGGAGATACTGAATATTGTGATGCATTTTAGGCAGCCATGACCCAGGAAGGATCTCTAACAGCCATCTGAGGAGTGGCCAGTGAAGTTATCACTAGGCTGTAATGTAAACACTGCATTTTCTCTGAAAACACAGTGTTTACAGCAAAAAGCCTGAAGGCAATGATTCTACTCACCAGAACAAATTCAATAAGCTGTAGTTGTTCTGCTGACTATAGTGTCCCTTTAACTAGGCATTATTTTGGACCTATCATGTAAGGCAGGAGACCTTTTCAAGTTATAAATATCTGATGACGACAATTCTACCTAAAGCCCTTAACAGGAGATTTATGAAACTTTGCAGAATAAAGCATCAGAATGAAATGTAATTCTACCCCATGTTAATATAAACATATAATACAGATTTTCATATGTATACCTATGCATAGAGAGCATACATCAATTAATGAAGTTTCAGAGAGACAAAATGATTCATTATGACTGGAGAGGGTTTAGGGTTGGTAGCATTTAGTAGAACATGGCACCATTTTTTCGAGTTTTGTGTACCCAATTGGCTTTTTAAAATATTTTTTAGAAATGAAGAAAATTTTGACAATATTTAAAAAAAAATTACTGTAATGCATACCTCACATTGTACTTAAAAAAAAAAAAAAAAAAAAAAAAGTTCCCATTGGGCACAGAAACTTGAAAAATCATATCCCAGAATTCCTAGTTTGACATGCAAATAAGCACAGACAGCCATCATGTTGCAGACTACATACAGCATTTATTTAAAACATATTTCGTTTTTATTGGGTTTTTCAAAGTAGCACTAAAATATACATGAACACATGACTACGTATCGATACAGAGAAGGCATTAATGCAGAGAAAGTTACGGGTTACATAATCTGACATGTCAGTAATATAGTAACAGATATGCATGCGGAGGCGCTCATTTGATTGCAGTATAACACAGTCAGAATTGGAACAACCAGATCGCTATCCCCATGCATGGTGTTGAGAGACAATGTGCGTCCTGAGGATTGGTGCCTTGCTTCTGTAACATATTTGGCATGCATACAGGGTCCAGAAAAAAAAGAGGGATGGGGAAACGCATAACATACAACTATGGAAACACGGGTTTAACCTCATTAGAGCTGCATTGAAATATACTTTTTACTTTGTTCTCTCCCACTGGGTGCCCAGAACAGTTAGTTAGTCAGCACCACTCATGGCCCCGCCAATGTCACAGAATTTAAGCCAGCTGCTCCACAGTTTTGCATGGTGCTGTGTCGCCCCCCACACCCTAAAGGACATCTGCTTATAAAAACATACATTATTTACTCTCTTCGAAAAGCCTATAGCTATCTTGACTACTGTTAACAAATTGATAACTCAACGACTAAATTAACTAACACAAGACACACCTGAAACTCACTCAACTGAAAACAGTACTGCCATACCTAAGCTGTTACAGTCAGTTAGGCGATATGAGCGACTATGCACCTGAAAACCAGATAAACACTGCTTCACACTCTCACGCGAGTGAGACCCACACACCCAACCCACGGACAGAATAGCCTCACCTACCATACACAGATATAGCAAGGTCTGGGAATAGAACATACTGAGACGGCCAGGAACATAACACTTGTACACACCGTTGAAATACACATAAAAAGACCCACACGACAGTCTGCAGCAACCATATTAAAGATGTAACCTGCTATGTCCTCAGTGTTGATACACCTGGTTTCTGAAAACGTAACCCTTCATTATAACACCCGATGCTCTACAACACGGCTGCTTGCCCTCACACGAGAGGGCTGCTTGCCCTCATACTTTACCTTCTATACCCTCCCGCTGCAACAGTCCTGATGACGTAAATTTCCGTTGGTGAAATACTGCAAGTATACGACAATATGAAATATTCCACTAGATAATGGCTGATAACCCATACTACGCCTGACATATCGGCTAACAAACCACCCCACTCACTTATCAGACGATTGAGAAATGTACTGCCTAACCTAGAGGGAGGTACGGACTCTAGGACCAGCTGTACGGCCATGACCTTTTAACTATGCTAATACTCCCAAGAGGCATCTTCATACATACACAAGTGACACCCTGTTACAAAGCCTACTGTACCTTTACTAATTATACCTAAAATGGAAAAACTCCAGTCTCAGCTTCCAATCCAGATGCTATATCCTCTTGTTAAGCTATGTTATGTCGTCAACCACTAATTTGACATGTATTTTCATATAACAGCGCTGTATTCATCCTACGACTTCCGAATAAAGCATAGTAATTTTCAAAAACAAATTGATAATTACTGTGGAGTTTCGGTTGTGACCTATGTTGGGCAGGATATGGAGTAGGTAACCCTCGGGCGTCAGCGGGAGTAAATGGTTGGCAATGGTGCTAATGAGCATCTGTAGGTGCGACCAAAATGCCTTAAGACTCGGGCATTCCCAGAATATATGCATCATTGTTCCCAATGCCATCCCATATCTCCAGCGTACTAGGGGTTCTGCGTTATAGATCTTAGATAACTTGTGGGGAACCAGGTACCAGCGCGTTGTGATTTTACATTGATGATCGGTAATAGTATCGGATATCTGGCACTTTAACATTGACTATGTGCACGAACGGTTCCCGTTAGACTATTTGAACTGAACTTAGACATTGAAAATAGACCGGCCGCACAGCCTAATTCCCTGGAATTGTTTTGGACATGAAACCATGCTTGTGGTCGGTCAAAAGAGACTTCCGGGAATTTCCCGAAACCCTGCTCTGATCTGGCTGATTTTTGGATATGCTGTTCACCCAGATCAGGGCAATCCAGGGATTTAATGGGGATATGTTATGTTTTGGGGTGTTTTCTGTACTTTGGGGAAAATGTGTGTTTTTGTGCTTGTGGATAATTAGGTTATTCTATTAGCTACTTTAATTATATCACAGGCAGAGGGGAGGGGTTGTTTGTTGTACATGGGAGTGTCACAAACTGTATGTTTGTTCTTATTGGTCTGTACAGTTGACAATGTGGTGTTCCATCAGTTTCAGAGTAGTGTGCCTCTGGCCTGAGGAATTGTATATAAGCCAGCCTGTACCAATAAAACCGGAGACTTGTCCTACCCTTCATGAAGTTTTGTCTCATGTTTGGGGGTTTGGAGAACTACATACACTCTGGGGATGGCTATAATCACTATACTCCCCAGAGTATAATCACTAAGCTCTTGTAAGAGCTTGTTCTTGTTCCTGCTCTCTGGATTAAGAGAGGTCTACCTACTGAAAGCTGGATCCTGGTCTTGGGTCTAGAGTGGGTGGAAGATATCGAGACCACAACCAAGCTGCGGCGGTTCGTGGGGTCTGCAGTGGTTATGGTGTTTAGTGGAGAGCTTGGAGCCCTCGGGAAGCCCTAGGAGCATCCGTCAATGGAGGTATCCAGTCAGGGTGCCAGGCGATCCGTTACAACTATCATGGAGTTAGGCATTGTCAATGGTTAGCCCTGGTTGTATAGCGTACATCTTATGGTCTAGGAATGGTTTACCCATCAGGGGAGGAATGCTTTTGCTGGTACCCTGCAACTGTCCCCAGTCTCTGAGTAGCTGCTGTCCATCTTCCAGCTCTTCAACCACGTGGTTCTTGTTGTTCCCACAGATGTTGCACAGTGTGTCAGAGGTAAAGCGTTCCGATCTAGGGAGGTGGGAAGCCCTATCCATCAGCCACTCCACTGTCCGGGATGCCTCAGAATCTGACATTATTCCGCCTCGAGCGGTCTTCCATGTCAGCGAGCTTCCTCTACAATTGAATGTGCTCGTCCTTGAGGGTTTGAAGCTGCTCTGTGATATCATTTTGCGCTGTGCATATTTTCTGTGTGCACTTCCAACCAGTCTGTCCGGTCACCAAGCTCGGAGAGTTCCCACTTAAACTCCACAGTCATCTGTTTGATATCCGTGTGCAATGTCACCCGCAGGTCCTGCAGCGTAGTTTATAGCCGCTTTTCACTGACCGGGGCATCCGAGTATTGGTTTGCCGTTGTTTCAGCCTCAGGTTGGTCTTCCGACATAGGAGAGTGTGCCATGCTGTTGTCGCCATCTTGAGTAGGCCTCTTTATTAGCGTAGCAGCTCGGGTCCATAATTTTGAGCTATTTGGACGGTGCCCGCAGTAGCTTGCAGGTATGTTTCCGAGCTTATGGCAGTGGCTGATTAGACTTTTTGTAGCGTTTGTGTCAGTCAGAACTGGGAGCACTCACTCCATGCGTCCGCTTTGTTCGGCTGCTAGTCACGCCCCCTACATACTGCATTTTTGCAGATACCTTTATCAATGGATGCTGTTTTAAACACAGCTTTTTAAGACTAAAGCATGAGCTTTACTATATGACTATACAATATTATTCTGAATTCTTCTTTACTTTACCATGGCAGCAAAGAAATAGCATCTAAACAAAGGTGAATAAACATGGCACGGAGAACCACTGTTGCCTTTGAGAGAAAATTTGGAGAACACATTTGGAATCCTAAAAAAAGGAATGAAAACATAATTGGTTTCGCTCTTGCAAAGTCCTAAATGAATGTGTCTGCCAATGTCCCTTTTGGATTGAGATATCAGTTGCAGAATGTTTGTAATTGTCTGTTCTTATACAATACAAATAGATCTATATAATATAATTTCTCACTCTAATCATTAGCATCAGAAAGATGACACTTTTAGCCAATGAATGTCCAAAACTGGTATGTTAATGCAAAAGTAGAGACCTCCATTTTTAGCATATCAATGCAAATCAGAAGGACTACGAGTATGCAACATAACTAGGTAATTATTAAATGGTTTGACAGCTTTCCATGGGACAGTCACAAGGAAACTCCGGGCACCAAAAATCAATGGTGCGTGTATAACTTTAAGAAACCTGGCCTGTCATTAAGCATCAATTAATTTATGCTTAAAACTAAATTTTAATATTTAAAAAAAAATATTCTTTTAGGGAGTAATAAGCTCTAAATCAGCACAATCGAATCACGCCGATTGCAGACATTACAGTGAAGCAAATATCCACTTTAAATGAAACATTTGCTACATTTTAATCTCCCCAGTCAGTGTGTTCCAAATATACCATCTATGTCCAACGTGAGATTTTATGAGATCATCATCCGTAGGATTAGACACTCATGGCTGACAGCCACACAGTAGGGTAATGTTGGCACTGAACGTGTTAGCGAATTATAGTTAAAATTCCCATGACGCACATCCAGCCTAGAGGCAGGTGAAATTTAGCTAACAAGCAGCAAGTTCTCTGAAAACATCAGACACAACTGGCATTCCAGCTACAATTCCCATAATGCTTAGCCAGCCTTAGGGCAGTGTACATCACCGAAATTAAATTCATAAGTATTTGCAAATTAATATAATTGAGAATTACAATTCCCGCGATCCTAAGCTAGCTTTAAGGCTAGCCAAGCTTTTTAGAAATTGTAATCCACAAAAATCATGAAACATCAGGTCTTCTTCTTCTTCTTATTGAGATACTCTGTAATCATCATTCACATCTGATTGTGTACTGTAATTACCATAAAGCTCAGGCAGCCAAAGCCTTGTCTTAAGGATGAGGTTAGTTTATTGCAGTTTATTTAAAGGACCACTATAGTGTCAGGAAAACAAACTCGTTTTCCTGAAACTACATAATCCTTAGGTCCCCCCACCCTCAGGGCCCCTCTCTAAAACTGTTATGTTTACAGCTGCAGGGTTAAAACCTGGGGGACCTGGAACCCAGACCACTTCATTGAGCTGAAGTGGTCTGTGTAACTATAGGGGTCCTTTAATGTCCATTTGAAAATGTTATTTTTTTTTACCTTTCTGCTGTCATGTGAACACAGTATATATTAAAATGCTGGATAATTAAACCCAGACTATTTTTTTTTTTAATTTGTATTTTATTAGTTTTCATCAGGTAACAATAACCATACATAGTTGCATGATATTAAGACATTTCAGGTAGAAGTGAGTGCAAGACGCAGCTTGCTGCAAAAATATTTTTCTTGTTTACATATCTTTTATAGTGTAAAGATTACAGTCTTAGGTACAATGTACATTCAATGCATGCAGTTCCTGTTCCAGTCTAGTTATACCCAAGTGTATCCAGTCATGGAGGGATATTGTTTGCGTTATGGATTTTAGCACTGTCAAAGGGGCTTGGGGATGGAGTTTGTGGCTGTAGCCTATCTGAGCCATGAAAGTGTCCCACATTATTATGGTTAAGCTGATGGTTGGGAGAAGTGTTTTGCATGTGTATCGGAGGTGTTTTGGGGTCCATCGATTAAGGAACCTTCCATATTTACCCATACTAGGTACTAGTCACCTATGTATGGATCAAGGAGAGAACAGAAAATTAGAGACAAAGACATAAAAAAAGGAATACATAACAATATGGCATTCGGTATGTGAAATTAAAACTGGTGAATTGTAGGGGGTTTTTAGTTGTACCTAATGAGTTGGCTCATGCGGTATTTTGCTGCGATAACCTGACCCAGTTGGACCAGGTCGCCTGAAATTTGAGGGCCTGTGAGGGTGAATTGAGAGACATTTTTTCATATATATGTATATATATAGTATTGCTGCACCCTGTCTTTCAGTTGTGTCATCGAGGGACTCGTTGGTTTCTTCCAATTTGTCGCTATTAGGTTTCTGGCAGCTAGGGAGGTTATCACTATGAGTTGTTGGTGAGTCGATTCTACTATAGTGTCTGGCAACAGTAGGAGGCAGTTGGAGACAGAAGGTGAGAAGGCTGAGAGCTCCAACTGTCTGAGAAGCATGTGGACATCGTCCCATAGGGGTTGTATGCCAGTACACGCCCACCAGATATGCAACATTGTACCTTCCTCCACACCGCATCTCCAGCACAGGGGGAGACCGTTGGGTATATCTTGTGAAGTATTTGCGGTGTTAGGTACCAACAGTATAACAGCTTTCTATGAGCTTCTATATGTGAGTAGCATTTCGTCCATCAGGACAGCCCATTCAAGGCCTTCAACCAATCCCCCTCAGAGATTGATACACAAGTCTCTTTCCCATTGGGTTTTACACAGCAGCGGCCTATCTGCCTGCCTCTCCAGCCATGCTCTATAGCAAAGGGAGAGGGCTTTGGGCCTGGACGGGGCATCCCTACACCTGAGCAGAACCAAGGAAGACACTAACAAGTTACCCATGGTGTCAAGTTTGGGAGGAGGGAGAGCATGTGAGGTCTAAACACTTATTTGTAGGTATCTAAAAGTGCCTTTTCAAGACGTTTCTTCTTGGCATAACTAGCATGTTTGATGAAACAACCCCCAATGACTGCCTTGTGTGCCAACCAAATTTGGTCGGGTGTGGAGTCTGGTTCTGTGTTGTCAAGGAACTAGTGTTGGACATCTTATTTGATCTGTGCTGCCACTATTGGGTCGTTTAATAATCCGTCATTGAGCCACCAGCTAGTCCGGCCCTTGGTTGTAAATTGTTCTGTCAGGGACATGGTGATTGGTGCATGGTCAGACCATTTAATTAGCCCTATGTGAGTCTTCTCTATTTTGGGGAACATTGCCGATGGGATTAAAAATCTGTCTATCCGGGAGTAGCAGTTGTGCGCTGTAGAGTGACATGTGAAGTCCCTTTCACTAGGATGTTGATATGCTACGAGTTACGGGTCGACATATTGATGCGCTGTAAGAGTGTGTCTAATGCAAGAAATTTGTTTTCCTCGAGTTTTGAGAGTTTGTTTTTGGAGAGATTTTTGGTTTGAGGAATCTAAATAATCGTCCAACAAGAAGTTTGTGTCTCCCCCCTGTATCACCTCTCCAAATGTGTGTTTCAAGCATAAAGTCAAAATAAATTCTAGGAAGTCAGTTTGCTGGTTGTTAGGGCTATATACATTGATAAACGTGTACGGGTTATTATTAACATAGCATTGTAGCACCACATATCTACCCTTCTTATCCCCCACTTTACGAACCAATGAGAGACTCTTTTTTTTTTTTGCGTAGTATGCATGAAAGTCTATCGGGTATGCTGTGGAGTTGAATTTTGGGTGATGACCCCATTTAAAAGGTGTTTCTTGAAAAAACGCAGTGTGTGCATCTAAAGGTTTGTCCTCTTTCAGTGCCAGGCGCCTCTTGTGTGGGGAGTTAAGCCCCTTGGCGTTCATGGAAAAGACATTTATCACCATGATTTATAGGTGTTGGTCTTGCGTACTAGAAGGGATAGATTAATTAGGAACTCTCCACTCATGGTCAAGGGGATCATGCGATGGTTTGTGTGTGTGTTGGGCAGGCCAACAGGCCAGCCGTAGCATCTCTCTCCCCAGCCTAGGCCCTGGGTCATCAGATGCTCGTTGGGGATAAGTTGGTTGAGAGAATGTGGGAGTGACCCATATGACACCGGGAAATTTAGTGAATACCTCAGTAGCTTGTATTGCTCGTAGCATATCGAAAGCAAAAAAGAAAGGGGGGAAATAAGCAAAAAAGAAAACATGCAAACTATGTACATAAAACCGTTGGTCGAACAGGGTCGACCGAAGTTTGAGAAACTGTGAGATTTGTGGCTCATATCTTACGCCACCTTGGGGGTGGGTGACCCGCGACTGATTCAACAGATCCAAGTAATAATATTAGATCCGAGTTGAATTAGAATTGAGTTGGTTACTCCATACGGTGTTAAGCATTCTAGTATCTAATCATTGCAATACAGCTATTAGTATATCTTCCAAACACAAGACAGGATAAACTCTAGTACACATATTGCATACGTCTCATATGTGAATACTTATATATTACCCCTCCGCAAAATTCAGGGAGATTTGTGCGGGCGGACATGTATCACTTTAGA